TGTGTGTGTGTGTGTGTGTGTGTGTGTGTGTGTGTGTGTGTGTGTTTTCATATATACATATTTACAAGAAAGCAGAAGGTCTTTACAAAGAGAAAGGAGAAAGAAAAGACCAAAGTGAATGTCAGAAGAGATTGCTGTAGAATGCTGAGAAACAACAGGAAGAAATTAGAAAGTTAAAGTTTGAACAGAAGTTTCAAAGGACAGTGCATGAAGACACAGCAAAGCATTATAACAAAATATGCAGAGAGCTGGAGTCAGAAAATCAAAAGAGAAGAACTGGCTTAAGATTTCTCAAGCTGAAGAAACTGAAGAACAAAGAGGGCTGAAGTGGTTCAGCCCAGGAGATAAGATCCTGGTTGAGGTGGATTGACACAGAGATTGTGGAAGTTGGGTCAAGTGTGTTAGAGATGGTGAGATTGGCTCAGGACAGGACAAGGGTCAGAGCTGTTGTTCATAGGGTCGCTGTGAGTCATAGTCATCTCAAGGGCACATAACAACAACAGTGATAAATTCTCTCCAGGGACCCTCAGCTCTCTGTGACCTAGGCTTAGAAGCCCGTTTAGTTCTACCCCTCCTCCCTCCCATTATTCCTCAGAGGAGGCTTGAGTCGCATGACCACATGTTTTCCTATTTGTTACATTTACAGGAAGCAATAATGTCCTCTACCACGTGGGGAGAAAAATTATCTTAGGGGATAGTATCTAAAATCTATTATAACTAAAGGAGGATATCTAAGTCTGTTCTAGATTTCGTTTCTTAAATGCTTAGATATTTTAATGACCTTCAGAAAGGCCACAGTGCACAGATAAATAGCATATCTGTGGTATTAAAATTTCAAGGGAGGTTCAAAAAAGGGGAGGAGTTGGAGTGTCTAAAATTACTTATATGTGAGGGATGATATTTGAAAAAGGTTGAGAAATGTAACTAGGTAGAAACCCTGGATATTGAAGAACAAAAGGCAGTAATATTGAAGAGCTTAAATCTGTTCAGCGGCACCCTGGATATTGAAGAGCTGAGGTCATCAGACCTACAGAGGAGGTACCCACGTAGTCACTGTGCTCTGTGGAATTGGAACCAGCCAGACAGAGGAAGGCAGGCAGCACAGAGTAGATAGACAAGGTGGCTTATTTCTGGCATTTGGGGGTCAAAGCCAGGAAGAGGACTAGATGTATGTGCAGGAAGGGAAAATACAGGGAACAGACTAACTCAGAATGACTGCCGAGAAGAGTAGGATGGTCCTAGGGCGTTAGTGAGAAGTTAGTGAAGTTCAAGCAGTACATGAAAAGTATAAATGTCTCTGAATGAAAATGAAGAAACAGTAACCACATTTACCTGTAGAAAGGAAGAGAGGGTTGTTATAAGGGTAATTTGACAGTCTAAAACACCTCTGAGTAAACTGTATACATTTTAGTAGCCCAATCTCTCTAAAATTCAACTCAGTGTGATATAAGTGGTCCATTGTTTCTGACTATGTCTCTTCAAAGCAGTCCAGATACTGTTTCCTTTTTGACCACACACTGTGCTGAGTACCAGGAAGGAATTCAGAGTTGAAAAAGGTACTCAAATGATAATAACTTTTCAGGGATCCCAGTGTAATGGGAAAGATAGATATATAGGCAATTTAAAAACAGTAGGGGACCACAGGTTTAGAGATGGATGTGGAATTTTATGGGAACACTGATGGATGATACTTACCCTAGTGTGAAATGAGTAAAAAAATCTCATAGCCACCCGGTCAGAACCAACTCCTAGCTGACCCTACAGCAAGTTTTCAGACGTGGTAAGTTATACAGGAGGACATTGCTCTGCAATGGAGGGACCTGTCCATGGTATTAAAGAGCAGTGAAGTCTAGAGACCAAGGTGCACCTGATACAGGCCATGATCTTCTCAATTACTTGCTGTGCCTCAGAAAGCTGGACAATGAGTAGGAATGATAGAAAGAGAATTGATGTCTTTGAGCTGTAGTGCTGGAGAAGAGTATTGAATATATTATAGATTGCTAGGAGAACAAACAGGTTCATCTGAGAGAGGGTTAAACCAGGCTGCTTCTTGGAGGTTCAGTCTGATATACTTTGGGCATGTTGTAAGGAGGGACCAGTCCTTGGAGAGGAACATCATGCTTAAGAGGCTGGAAAGACAGTGTAAAAGACAAAGATCCTTGATGAGATGGATTGACTCAGTGACTGAGGTAATGGGGATTGGTGTGTCAGAGACAATAAGGCTGGCTCAGGATAGAGCAGCATTCAGAGGTGTTGTACAAGTGACTCAATAACACATAACAACATAGTACTTGTACACTGACAGACACATAGACAAATGGAACCGAATCGAGACCCCATCCGCCTGTGGTCAGCTGGTATTCAACAAGGAAATAAAGTTTTAAAATATTTTAAGCATATCCTATTACTTCATTACAACATGTTTGGCTGTTACCTGAAAGGTCAGAAGCTTGAACTTAGCCAGAGGTGTGTCGGAAGAAAAGATTGGCCGTCTCCTTCCAAAAATCAGCCATTGGAAATCTTGTCTTCTGCACACTGGGGGTCAAAATTAGTCCATTCACTCAGCTGAACAATGGAATTCTTTTTAGGCATACAGTTATGGTTTATAATAATTAAATAACTTAAGTATATCTTTGTAATTAAAATATTTTATCAATTAATAAAAATGCATGATTATATGCTTTGAATTTAGTATAGATGTTATTTAATAGAAAATAGATGATTGGCTAATAGCAGTCCTGACACTTTATAGAGAAAGCTATTTATGGCCCAATCACTGAGCTGCCACAAAGGACTCACCTGCCTTTCCCTCAAGTCCCCTCGCTTCTTGTCGCTTCGTCCCCTCTGCCTGCCTTCTACAGGCCATTTCCACCAAGGAAAAGGAATCGTATCATATGTCCCCTATCCAGAACCTCCACTCTTTCGACCCCTTTGCTGATGCAAGTAAAGGTGATGACCTGCTTCCTGCTGGGACTGAGGATTATATCCATTTAAGAATTCAACAGAGAAATGGCAGGAAGACCCTTAAAATTGTCCAAGGGATCGCTGATGATTATGATAAAAAGAAACTAGGGAAGGCGTTTAAGAAGTTTGCCTGCAATGGTACTGTCATTGAGCATCCAGAATATGGAGAAGTAATTCAGCTACAGGGTGACCAGCGCAAGAACATATGCCAGTTCCTTGTAGAGAGTCGACTGGCTAAGGACGACCAGCTGAAGGTTCATGGGTTTTAAGTGCTTGTGGCTCACTGCGGCTTAAGTGAGGATTTCAGTGCAATGAGTAGGAGATTTCCCTCCTGTCCTTTGACACAAGTTTAAAACTTCACAGCTTGTATAATGTAACCATTTAGGGTCCACTTTTAACTTGGACTAGTGTAACTCTTCTGTGCAATAAACTGAAAAGAGCCCCTCTCCCCAAAAAAGCTATTTATGATTTCTCATGGGCTTTGTTTCTCTTTTTTGATCTTTACCAACAGAGAACGAGCGATCCAAGAGATGCGTCGACATGGTCTTCCTACATCACCCCTTAGTTCTACTCTGAGATCTCCTTCAAATTCTCTTGAGCTTTCAAACTTGTAATTATCAGAAAGGTATGTGTATGTTCTCCTAAGAAAATGAATACTAACTACGATGATAAAACTTTGCGGAGGAAGGGGAGATCCACTGGCAAGGCATGACGGGAGCTTTCTGTAGTAGTGACAATGTTCTGTATCTTGCCATGCTGGTTACAGAGTTAGGTACAATTGAAAAACTCATTTGAAGTGTTCAGTTGAAATGAACACCTAAGGTCTTTGCACTTTGTTTTAAGTAGATTTTCCTTCAACTTAAAAAGAAGTCATCTGCAACAAAATGTTAGTGATATATGTGGGTTATCCAGAGTAATATTTGATGAAGTATTCAAATTCAAGGGTAAGTAGTACGTGGGAAAAGTGTGAGTAAAAGCCCTCAGATAGGATTACATGTGGTGCAATAAACTTATCCTGACAGGAATGGTAAGTTTCAGAGGAATCATGAGGGGGACAAAGTTTGGAAAGTAGGTTATATAGAATATGTAATGAATACATTGTGAAGTTGGGAACCAGTGAGAGATCCTTCTGTGGATAGGATATGTACAAGGGTAGAGTTAAGATGCAAGCCTTGTTTCTGAAGGATTCATTTCATTTATATTTGGGTCAAATTGCAGGTAGAATCCTGAGGTAATAATGCTAGTTGTTGCTACAGAACGACTCATATCATTGTTGTTAGATGCTGTGAAGTATGACTCAAAGTGACTCTAAACAACGTATCTGAATGGTGTCCTTTCTTATGCCATCTTCATCATCCTCAACACATTTAAGTCCATTGCTGCAGATACTGTTATTAGCCCATCTCATTAAGGGTCTTCCTCTCCTTCCCTGACCCTCCACCCTTCCAAGCACAATGTCACTTTCTAGGAAATAGCCTCTCCTAAAAATATGTGAGATGAAGTGTCGTCATCCTTCCCTCCAGGAAGCACTGTGTCTACTTTCTCCAAGATACACCTGCTTCTTCTTTTGGCAGTCCATGGGTAAGAAATGAAATTATGAGAGTTTTGGATCAGTATAGTTGTCAAAAGATAGCACAGAAAGTTTTAAATTGTCATATATGTGCAGAACAGTGCTATATCCTAGGTGTGAATAGCTTAATTTTTTACGTTTGGTCAAGTTGTGAGGCATTTTGTTCTTTTACTATTGATGTGCCATCCATACCAACTTGATCAGTAAATGTTCAGTGCCTGTTTGCCTTTATCATTTGCATGTCATAGGTTGTTAATGAGTCTTCCTCTAGACTGATGCCCAGTTCATCACATAGTTTCCTTTCTCAGATTATTTGCTTAGCATACAGATTGATGAACACCTGATCTTAAACTACACCGTAATCCCTAGTTTCTTTCGAATGATTTACAGGTTTTGCCTGAACACAGTTAAGTGTCTCTGGGATTCTTGTTCTTTGCAGTGTTATCTGTAATTTGTTATGGTACACACACATAGTTAAATGTCTTAATATAGGCAGTAAAACACAGGTATACATCTTTATTTCATTACACACACACACCGTCTTATAAATTCAGCATGAATTTTTGATAGTTCCTTATTGGTAAACTGTTGCTATTTTTTTAATTACATTCAGAATTTTATGTGTGTGCTATTAATAATGTTCTATGTTTCTGCATTCTGTTAAATCACCCTTCTTTGGAATGGATACAGATACGAATCTCTTTTTATTGATTGGCCAGGTCTTCCAAATTTCTAGGCATAGGCAAGTGAGGATTTCCAGCAATGCATCTGTTTGTAGAAACATCTCAGTTGATAGTTTGTCCATTTCCTGGTGGGTTAGTTTTCACACCAGTGTGTTCATTGCAGTTCCGGCATTTTCCTCCAACCCCATCAGTTCTTCGTCATATGCTGCTTCCTAAAATGTTTGAATATCAGTTGTTTTTTGTACAGTGACTATATCTTCTTTTGATACTTCTTCTCTTGTTCTGTATTTTGCTTGTAGACTCCTTCAGTATTAGAACTCCAGCTTGAATTCTTTCCTTCAGATCTTTATTTAATCATGAGAAATGTTTAGAATGTTCTACCTTTTTGGTTTTCAAACTTCATGTCTTTGCATATTTCCTTATAATATTTGTCTTCTCAAGCTTCCCTTTGAAATATTCTGCTCATCTTTTTGACATCATCATTTCTTCCAGTCATTTTGGCTACTCTCAACTCAAGAGTAAGTTTCAGATCATTCCCTGATCTTTTATTTTGCTCTTTTTAATGACCTTTTTGTTTCTTCATGTATAATTTACTTGATGTTATAACACGACTTACCTGGTCTTCAGTTTTTGGCCTTTAGCTTATCTCTAAATTTAAGTAGGATAAACTTGAAGTATATATAGGAGCTCTGGTGGCCTAGTGACAAGAAACTGCACTGCAGTCTAGAAGGCATGTCGTTCAAGGTCACCAGCTGCTAGGAGGGAGAAGGAGGGGCAGCCTCTTCTTGTGTGATTAACTTCCTCTGAAAACCCAACGGAGGGTCAGCTAGGAGTCGGTCTGACTGGAAGGTACACAACAGAAACAACATATTCAAAGTACACATTGGCTTTTATGTATTTGTTTTCCTTTTCATCAGCCTCAAGTTCACTTTCTCCATCATCTTTTTATATAGATGTAGTCTGTATGTAGACTACTAGTCTATATCTAGATGTAGTCATGTGTATTCCATCTGGTGTTAGCACACTCACTCATTGCATTGAGTTGGTTCTGAATCATAAAAATTCTTCAGGTTTCCAAGGCTACAGATGGCAACAGGAGAAGACTGCCCATATTTCTTCCTGGAGCAGGTGGTGGGTTTGAATTGTGTTAGCAGCACACTTCTCTATGGGGTACACCATCAGAGCTCTCATATATGTAGTTACCACATAGAAAAAACGGTATTTCCAGTTGTTGTTGTTGTTATGTGCCGTCGAGTCGCTTGTGACTCATAGCGACCCTATGTACAACAGCCCTAAACTCTGCTCTGTCCTGTGCCAGTCACACTATCTTTGACATTCCCATCCCGATTACCCCAGTCACTGAATCAGTCCACCTCATAGAGGACCTTCCCTTCCTGCGCTGTCCCTCCACTATACCAAGCATGATGTCCCTCTCCAAGGACATGGCCAAAGTCTCCTTACAACATGGCCAAAGTATGTTAGACAGAGCCTCAGAATAGGTCATTAATCTTAAAAAAGTTCTGCTGTTTCATCTCCAGAGATGCTTCATCAAAGCTTTATTTTCCATTCACCAACCCTTTTTTGTTTCCAGCTTTTGTGTTCCAGTCACCAGTAAGTATCAATGCATTTTGGTTGCAGGATTGAGTAATTTCAGACTGCTGAAGTTGGTAAATATTCTCAGTGTCTTCATCTCTGGCATTAGTGGTTGATGCATAAATTTGAATAATAGTCATTATTAACAGGTCTCCTGTGTAAGTCTATGAATATTATCACTGACTATTGGGATGTGCTTCAGGGTAGATTTGTGGCAATGATTGTGATACCCTCCCTCTTCAATTTGTCAAATCTTTGCATGGTAGACCATGTGATTTTCTGATTAAAAATAGCCAGTTCCATTGTGCGAATATACCACAGCTTCTCTAGCCATTCGTTTGTTGATGGGCACTTAGGTTGTTTCCAACTCCTTGCTATTGTGAACAAAGTGCCTAAGTGAACAAACAACCTAAGTGCCCATCAACAAACGAATGGCTAGAGAAGCTGTGGTATATTCGCACAATGGAATACTATGCTGCATTAAAAAACAAGGAACTCATGCAATATTATTCAAAATGGTTGACTCTGGAGAACATTATGCTGAGTGAAATATCCCAGTCACAAAAGGACAAATATTACATGATGCCACTGTTGTAGAATGGGACTGTCCTTGGGGTTGGGGAGAGACTGAGTAAGATGGGTTCAATAATGTATACTGCACTGAAACAGAGGAGGGAGAGAACCATTTAAAAGAGAGATATAACTGGGTATTTCTGTCATCACAGGAGACTAGAGCGAGGGCTACATGGTGGAGGGGACCTGGGGGAGGGTTTGTAAAACAATGAAAGAATCTTTTCTTTTACTTTTCCATAATTTTTGGACTCATGTACTTATAACTTGTTAGTCAAATTTGTGTCTTCTAGGTTGCAACACCCCCATGATACATCTTCAAGGATATGAACATGTACAGCCAAGCACAATCAATAAGAGTGCATCTAAATTCCAAAATCAATCTCCATAATAGTCTATGTGTTTCCTACTGCCAAAGGGGCCCTTTAGAGTAGTGAGAGAAGATCTTCACCCTGAAACCCACAGCATCCCTTTTCAGCAGGAAGTAGCTAAGAGAATACGCCATCCCCTTTTCCTTATGACTCAGGGTGAAATCTCTCTCAGGGAGGAGAGATAGGGAATGGCAAAGGACACACTGACAAAGAAGATTAATCAGAACTGGCTTTGACAAGCACTGTGGCATTTGGACAAGAACAAACTGGGAGGAGGGTAGAGAGAATAGTGCAACAATGAATGAGTGGAAGCCCAAAATCTCTGTAAATGTTTATGAAAATTAATAAAATATAATTATAGGGAAAAAAAATAGCCAGTTCCGGCCCATTTTGACTCACTAATGACTTGACGGCACATAACAACAACAACAATGCCTAGTCTATCAATCTTATTGTATTCTGTTTCATTTTTGACAGTTTCCAGTTTTCCTCAGTTTATTCTAGGTACATTCTACATTTTTATGGATATCCACTATTAGTAGATCCTTGAGCTATTTGTTCTCATTTTACATCATGCTACATAATTAAATGAAGCCCAAGCCCCGAAAAAAAATTTATTTTTATTTTTTTTTAATGTAAGTTTACAGAGATTTTGGATTTTCATTTATTCATTGTTGCACACTTTCCTCCCTTCCCAGCCCTCCCTCCTCAGTTCACTTCTTTGAAAAGTGTAAGAAATAAAAATTCTTTCATTGTTAATACACTTCCTCCCCCACGTCCACTCCTTTATCCAGCTTTCATTCCGTATTCTTGTCATGACAACAATA